TGTCAAATAAATAAATAAATAAAATTTAAAAAAATAAATAAAATAAATAAAATAAAATTCTGAAGTTCATTACAAATTTCCAGACTTGAATTTGACTTTTTTCATAGAACACGTATCAAAATCTCCTACAATAGCAGTTTTTCAAAGAACACCAGTCTGAAAAGCATTGGCCCAACTATAGTAACTGATTCCCGAAACTCAACAAGTTTTTCTTGTAAAAACACAAAAAGTGGGGTGCCTGGGTGGTTAAGTCATTAAGCATCCAACCCTTGATTTCAGCTGAGGTCATAATCTCAGGGTTGTGAGATCGAGCCCCACATCAGGCTCTGCACCGGTGTGGAGCATGCTTAAGATTCTCTCTCTCTGTCTGCCCCTCCCACCCCCTCTAAAAACAAACAAACACGCCAAAAAAAATTAATAGAAAGTGTCATGTTTGAGAGCAATTGCAATAATGCAGTATTTATAAATCTTTCCATCTCTTCCATCTCCAGGGACTAGCACTTTCCATAATAATAAATACAGGCTTAATCTAGCACCTCTAAGAAAGCAAAATGTAATGGAAACAATTTTAAAATAATGAGAAAACTCAAATCCAAAATACCATCTTTTCAATGTTATAAAAGAAATTATATACCTATGTTTTGCTGAATTTTCAATATTACTGTAGCTTTAATTGGTTGCTTTGGTTGTTCATCATCTGTGTTGTCCAATGAAGCTTCAGTATTCATAGAGTAACTCATACAAGCTGCAAGAGGATAATAACAATCAATCCTAAATAAAATGGGAATAATTCCCATTTTAAAATGAGTTTTAAAGAAGAACATTATAAGGAACATATTATCAAAAAAAATTCAGTCTCCTATATTTCCAGTTTCTAGTTTTCTCAAGGATTATAACACCTTAGTTCTAGATTACATTAGCCTACCAGCTTCATTTTTCCCCTAACTTCATCTATAGATCAAAAAGTTGAATGAATAGTACAGTTTTATTCATGTTAACACACATACAATTTTGGTTTTTCTATTAGTAAATATCAGTACCAAAAAACTTCTTTTGGGGGGGCCACTAAAATCCTTATTTCAGATAACAAATACAAATAAAAATAATGGATGAAGCATGAATTACACTTATTTGCTACGGATTTTTTTTACTTGAGTACTTGTATTTAAAGAGCACAAAAATTAACAAATAATACATTATATGTTAATAAAAAAATAAAGAGCACAAAAATGGTTTTTCATGATATATTACTTATACATTTAATATTGAATTGTTATATGCAAGTCATGCTCTAGTATGTCAAATTTTCTGCACAAGTAATTAATTTACTTCTATAAAAATATTTCATTGCTCTATTTTCATTTTTAATCTGTCATACAAAATCATACTGATTTGATACAAATCTGAGATAATTTTACTGAAGCAGAGTATTTTTCAAGGATGAGTAACACGTTGTCATAACAATTTATTTATGTTTGTTTTTGGTGGGAGCTTCTGGGATTTTAATTCAAATCTCAGACACTTTGTCATTTTACTAGTATCTGAAATTTAAATGCAAATAACATATTATTCGATATGAAATTAGATCTTAAGCATTCCTTAAAATCAGGTAATTTTAACTTCAGACAAGCTCCAAATTAATCATGTAAGAAAGTAACCTTTTTGAGCAACTGTCAACAAAAGAGAAAACAAGGGCAATAATGAATGCATGCTAAGTTGTAAATGTGTTCAATTTCATTCCAAGCTGTTGATAGTTAGGCAGGACTATTTAGATGCTTAAAATAAAATGTTACAACTTAAACTCCTTAGTTGTCTTCTTCCAATCCCTGAATACTGAAGTAATGAGGTTTCACTATACTCAGTGATTTAGTCATAAAAATACATGTTCATTATTACTTCTCTTTCCTTTATAATTAAATTATCAATGTTTAACCAAACAACAAAAATTAATTAGTTCTGATATAAAGACAGAATTGGCAAAGATGAGTTTCACCCGATTTTAAAGGTATGTCTTCAAATTTTTAGCTGATACTGTAGATAAAGTGCATCTGAATTACTAACTTAGTATCTAGTAGGAGATGACTAATGCACCTAAGAAATTTTAAAGCCATAGTTATCCCTTACCTTAAGTGAGTCATTTTGACAAACAAATTGTTCTTCATCCCTTAAGTCATTTAAAAGTATGTTATTTTAAGGTATTTACCTGGCAAAATATGTATTTCAAACATAGCAACTACTTGGCAAGTATATTATAGAATAAAAATAATTAAATAATAATCAGCAAATAATAACATCAAATACTTAGAAAATAAAGCCGGATTGTTATAACAAGTTTAACACCCTTAAATGTATAGTAATTTTCATTTTTTTTAAAATATCTTATTTATTTGACAGAGAGCGAGACAGCGAGAGAGGGAACACAAGCAGGGGGAGTGGGAGAGGGAGAAGCAGGCTTCCCACTGAGCATGGAGCCCGATGTGGGGCTTAATCCCAGGACCTTGGGATCATGACCTGAGCTGAAGGCAGACGCTTAACGACTGAGCCACCCAGGCGCCCCTCAATTTTTGAACTTTAACATTTGAACTCCACCTTTTATGGTTTATTATATACGAAAGCCCTAATTTCAAATATATAGGAAAATTTATACATACTATAAAATATTACTGTTATACTTTAATGTTAATATTCTTTATTATAATTCAGAAAGTTCATTATTTAAACGTCTTATAATAATACTAGTTAATATCACCTTACAGTTATGTATCTCTTTTTGTTTAGAAAGTATTTTCCCTAATGTTTGTACTAAATTCTCTTAACACCAAGAGAATCTGGGATTCGGAGGGGGATTATTTAAAGTTACACAGATGTAAGTGGCATACCTGGACTCAGTTAAAATATTATCTTCATAAAATTATGCATCTAATATTTTTAGTAAATTAATGAAAAAATAATAATCCATTATTTTTATTATTAATAAAATTTATTTTTGAGTAATTAATGAATGAGTAAGGGAGTGAATGAGTAAGTGAATATAATTCTAAACGAATAGGATGTCATGAAAAATCACTTAATTTTTCTATTAAAATGTTTATGTTTTTACCCTATCCTATAATTTGGGAATATGTTATTTTGCTATTAAAAATATGCTAATTACCAAATCATTTCTTCTAATTCAACAGATATTTGAAAAAGCAAAACTAATATAATTCTAGACAAGTCATATTCTTGGTCACAATACATCTGATGCCAGTGTTCAATTCCTGAAAAGCCTAGAGTTACTTTTATTACATTCATCCTTCAAAATGAACTCAAATGTCACTTGCTTTCAGAAGCTTTCTCTAACCCCATAAAAGGATAATCCCTGTGCTAAATGTTCTGATAATTCTGTTCATCCTTCTATTATAGAACTAATCACTTTATTTAGAGTAACCCATTTCTCTGTATTTCCCTCTAGACTGTGAACTTCTTCAGAGTCAGAACTGTATATTTGATCTCTAGAACCCTAATGCTTAAAACAGAGTAGTCAATCAATCACTCAGTTAGGATTTATATAAGTTTCAAAAACAGGAAAGAGTCCTTAAAGAATCATATTTAACATAATGAAGCAGTATCTTCAATACATTATACAATATTAGAAAAATATATAATCTAGAGATCATGAGTTTGATACAGCATACATTCAAGTATATACACCTAAACTTTCCACAAATTGCTGTTTTGTTTCCTTTGTGCAATATTAAACTCTTCCTATTCAGTTTATCTATCTCTATAATAGATTACCAGCATAAAAAAATATAGACAGAAAATAATTTTAAAATACAGTGTGAAATATACAACTAAGTACCAATATTAAAAGCTTATAAAAAATCAAAATCCATAAGAAAAGACTAATGAACATTTATATATCATCTAAGATTAAAAAGTGGATTTTTAAATACTTCAATTACTAGCTCATACTAATATTTAACATGGTACAGTGTTCATGATAAAGCTTACTGAAAGAAAGCTGAAAAACAGGATTAAAATATATTTAGTATACATATAAACGATAAAAACAATTCATTAGAGAATAGCATTTAAATTTGATAATAATAGCTAAGAAGTATATTATCTTGATGATATAAATAAGTCTTTTAATTATTTGCAAGGATATTTCAAAGAATTCTAAGAATCATTCAAAACTAGGGAGCTTTTAATATATTTGGAATTATCCACTGAATACTACAGAGCATCAATTTATACAATAGATGTGTGCTTTCAATTAAAGTGAAACATAAAGCAGTAATAATAAACAATGAAAAAATGGAAACAGTTTACTAAAATCGAAAAAACTAATGTCAAAACTTGGTTACTGTAGATTGTTATCGCTAACCTACAGTCAAAATATTTTCTTCTCATTGAATAATTAACAAAATCACTGGAAACTCTAAAATTTTAATCATTAATGGTAAGTTCTTACTCTTATGACCTTACTACATGTTCTGCATAATTAACAGTGCATACATATTATATCTTCCAAATCAGGCTTTTTAAGGAAAGGAATCTCGTCTTTGATTTTTTATCTATCACATTGCCTTGAACAGAGCAAATGCTTAATAAATATCTGATAAACAGACGTACTAAATGCTGTAAACTAGAATTAAAATGTCTAGTGTTGCATAATGTCATATGTTTTAAATGTTCTATACCCCTTAAAATGTTCTGAATTATATCACCATAGAGCTATGACTATCATACCCTTTTTAAATGTACATGTTCAGTTGTAGTGCCCTACACAAGCCTTAAAAACCTTGTATCTGGCTAGATGTAAACTTTACAATTTTTCAAGCATAAAATAAGTGAAAAAAAGATGTGCAATAATTTCCAAAAAATGGCCTATTTAGTATATATCAGTCAATTATTAACAAATATTTAAGAATACCTATCATGTTTGAGGCATAGAGCTGAGTACAGCGAGAAACATTCTAGGTACTTACTCTCAAAAATCTGACAGTCTGGGCATCTGAGTGGCTCGGGCAGTTAAGCGTCTGCCTTCAGCTCAGGTAATGGTCACAGGGTCCTGAGATGGAGCCCTGCATTGAGCTCCCTGCTCAGCAGGGAGCCTGCTTCTCCTCCCCACTCCTGCTCTCTCTCGCTATCTCTGTCACTATTTCTGTCTCTTTCTCTCAGATAAATAAATAAAATCTTTAAAAAAATAATCTAAATGAAATCTCTCTCTCCCTAAGCTTTTATATCTGATTTTTAAAGTAAGTTGTAAAAATGATTAGTCAAAAAATAAAAAAATAATAAAGTAAGTTGTGATTGGGTCAAATTTTGCATACAATGCTACCCTTTAATCTTTCATGAATGTAATACACACTATAAGTGTGACAAGTAATTCAAAAAGAATATGAAAACCATCTACTATAATAACAGATCCAAGATTCTAGCCAACAAGTGAGAAATTATACTGACAGAAGATGAAATTAAACCAGAATTATGCAACATCATTCACTTAAGTCAAAAAAATTTTTGAATGATGCAATGAAGATGGCCATGCTAAAATAAATATCTAGACCATGGAAAGTAGTAGTTCTATAGTCTGTATTGGTTAGGTCCCATGGAAAGGAATTGTTAGAAAAAGCACAGACTCTAGAACCAAATTGCTTAAGTTTAAATTCTAGCTCCACCATTTACTAGCTGTGTAACCCTGGAAAAATTATTTGACCTTTCTGAGCTTCAATTCTCTCATCTGGAAAATGGGACTAAGAATAGTATCTACATCACAGGGCTATTGTAAGAATTAAATGATTTATATTTGTAAGGCTCTTAAAACAGTGCCTATACATAGTAGGTTCTATATAAATAATAGCTAATAATATTATTAGAATATTAGGTTGAATTCAGGGTAATTTATTTAAAGAAAGGCAAACCAAAGTATATTTAAAGAAGTAGTTTTTAATCTTTCTTAGGTCACCAACCCTTTAATAAATCTTTTTCCAGAAAAAAATTATACAATTACTTTTAAGTGGTTTGTGGATCTCCTGAAAGCCAGCTATGACCCCAGAGGTTATGGGTACCACAGGTTAAAAATTCCTAATCTATAAAAAGACAAACAAGGTGGTAAGAAAGAATGAGATCTGGAAACTATAATAAAGAGACCAGTTAAAGGACTGTGCAAATATTTGGCTTCAACATACTTAAGAGCATGATAGTTGACCTCAAATTTAAAAGCATGGCCTCAGTAAAAAAGTACTCATGTTTTACTGCTCCAGATTACTGAATAAGGTGTTAGTTATAGGAACACAGACTGGTATTTGGAATAAGGAAGAATACAGTCTAAATCCCCATCTCCTAGGAATATAAATTTCAATGTTAAAAGAAAGAGAATGAACTAGGTCAACTCTAGTGATCCCAAGTAAAATTCATTCAGATTATCAACAACAGAATGGGTCAAGAACTATTGTCAGGCAATAGAGACAAAAGTGAACCATCAAAAATCCCTACCCTGATGACTCTAAATCTGGTTGGCAGAGATAGTGCAGCCACTAATCCGGGAAAACATATTTCAGAAAGCAGCAAACATGTTTACCAGTTTACTTTCAAAGTACCCATCAGTTAGGGAATATACTATAGCTATCCCTTAAAAAATGATAGTTTTCAAAGGATTAAAACACAGATGCTCTTTTAACATCAGATACTGAGCAATTTGAAGTATTTTTTTTCTTTAAAATAAGCTTACTGTTCCACATCATAATTAATACTAACCTGGAGTTGTTGAGAAAAAAAAGAAAAAGAAAACAAAACAACAAACTCACTGGTCTCCAACTAATCTAAGACTTTACTGACAGATTTGATATTCACCAGTGAAATACTTACTTGACTCATCACTGTAACAGAGTACTCTGAATCAAATACTCTTATTGGTGGGGGCAGGAATTAGTTAAGTCACAGAAAAATAATTAAGAAGTTAGAATTAGAAAAAAGACTTAAAAATTGTTATATTCAAATTTCATAAACATCCACATTCAAAAGCGGCCTAAAGACTTTCTACTATTATATCAGAAATCTGAAGTTCGATAAATAGCTACATACTCAATATTTATTGATATTTGCAAATAATTACTTTTTTTTAAAAAATATTTTATTTATTTGAGACAGAGAGAATGAGAGAGAGAGAGCACATGAGAGGGGGGAGGGTCAGAGGGAGAAGCAGGCTCCCTGCCGAGCAGGGAGCCCGATGCGGGACTCGATCCAGGGACTCCAGGATCATGACCTGAGCTGAAAGCAGTCGCTTAACCAACTGAGCCACCCAGGCGCCCTGCAAATAATTACTTTTATCACATATTTTTAAATGTTTCAGGAAGCCTGTCATAAACTTACACACTTATTTATAGATATATTTTCATATCTTTCTCTCACTACACAAAACAAAAGCAAAGCAAAGCAAAACAAAACAAAAACAGCCTTCTAAATAAATAATATATGTTAAAAAAAAAAGAAGATAGTAGGACGGGAAAAATGAAGGGGGGGAAATCGGAGGGGTAGACAAACCATGAGAGACTATGGACTCTGAGAAACAAACTGAGGGTTTTAGAGGGGAGGGGGTGGGGGGATGGGTTAGCCTGGTGATGGGTGAGGGCACGTATTGAAAGGAGCACTGGGTGTTATATGCAAACAATGAATCATGGAACACTACATCAAAAACCAATGATGTGATGTATGGTGATTAACATAAAATAATGAAATAAAATTTTTTAAGAAGTCACAATTAAGAATTAAAAAAAAAAAAATGACTCAAGCGTAGTTATCAAAGACCACAAAGGTAACAAGCACACCAGAGACCAGTTCCTCACCTTACTTTCATTGTGACTGAACGTTACCCACCTAAACTCAACAGCCAGAGACCCACAAAGGAGATTAATTCAAGAAGTGGAAAAGGGGGGCACCTGGGTGGCTCAGTTGGTTGGGCGACTGCCTT